GTTCGCCGCCTTCGTACCCCGGGGGCTGGCGGGTGCGGTCGTGCCCAGTCCCACACGCGTCGGTAATTGGCAAAAGTAGCTAGACTTCCAAATGAGCAGCTCACCCAGCGGCAGAGAAATGGAAGCTTCTGCCTTTGCTTGAGAGACAAGTGTAACTGTGTAAGTTTACCCCCTTTTAGCTGTTTAATAGGCTTATGTTTGTTCCTCCTTGCAGATGATTGAAACACTGGTAACCACTGAAGCTCAGGAGCTGCTGTACCAGCTCACAGCCCTGTTGGAGCAGGAGTTGCGATGTCAGCCCAAGGCCTCTGGCCTGAGACTGATCGAATCTGCTCATGATAATGGCCTCCGAATGACTGCAAGGCTGCGGGACTTTGAAGTGAAAGATCTCCTCAGCTTAACTCAGTTCTTTGGCTTCCATACAGAGACGTTTTCACTAGCTGTGAATTTCTTAGATAGATTCTTGTCAAAAATGAAGGTAAGGCTTTTTAAAGTATAAGCTCTCAGTCATTACCTTCTGCCCATTGCAGCCTTGTCCCTGTTCTAAGTTAGAACATCTTGGGTTTAGATGGTTAAAGGTTAAGCTCTTTCCAGAGACTCTGATTGTGCAAGAGCTGAAAAATGCCTTTCCTTGTTCAGATTTTAGTATTGTTAAGAAAGCTCTTTCCTTTGGAGAAGAGACGGAAGAGGGCAGCAGTTTCGACTTGGAGATGCCCGTAGGCTTGGAAATGCAGGCCATATTGATGGGTTAGATCAAGGCAGGTTGTCTTGCCTGTTGCATGTATACAAAAACACCTTAAATTACTTATTTTACTGTGCTTTGAACCTACTCGTAAGCCTTGTGTATATCAAGAGGCTTGATGCTGTCCAGCACTCAGAATCTGGTAAAATATTTAGTTGTACTCTATTCTACCGTGCATAGCTGGCATGCTGACCTGAGTTGTTTTTAATTTAACGAGACAGGATTACCACTGTACTATTTGATCAAGAACAAAAGCTTGCTTTCCTTATGTGTTAAAACAAAAATGAGAAAGCTAGATGGAACCAATAGGAAAATATGATTTGAAAGGCTTTTGAATCCCAAACAAGCAGTAAAAATGGGGGCTGTAATGCCTACGGATTAAAATAAGTCAGTTTATATATATATGTGTGTATATATTTGTGTGGATATATAGAAAAAAGTAAAAAAAAAAATCCAGTTTTTTTACATAAGCCAATAGGTACAACACTTTAAGTCCTAAAACCTTCTGATTAGGCTATTATAGAACCTCATTAAGAAACCCGTTCTACTTCAATCAAAATATATTGTTCTGCAATCTTGTTTTTTAGATGAATGAGGCAGAACTTGTAGTGTGTAACAGTCGTCTTATTTAGTTAAATAAAGATAAGAATGTAAGTAGATAAAAGACTGATTTCTCAATCTCCAAAAAACAGAACAACCCTCCCCACACCCCATAGTTTTTTCCTAAAATACATTGGTTCCTATATAGTTTGGTACTTACATGTCGCAATGGCTGATAAAAGGCCTTCCTCTTTGAAAGTAACAACAATTTACTTTTATTTAGGTACAGCCTAAACACTTGGGCTGTGTTGGACTCAGCTGCTTCTACTTGGCTGTGAAGGCATCTGAAGAAGAAAGAAATGTTCCCTTAGCCACTGACTTAATTCGAATAAGCCAGTATAGGTTCACTGTTTCTGATATGATGAGAATGGAGAAAATCGTATTGGAGAAGCTGTCTTGGAAAGTCAAAGCTACAACAGCCTTCCAATTTCTACAACTATATCATTCACTCATTCATGAGAATTTAAGCTGTGAAAGGTAAAATACCTAATACTTACTTTGCTATGACTGCATATGATCCAGAAGCTTATGTAGAAAAGTAAGCAAGGAAATCACCTGACTAATTGGCCTTTGTATACTTAAAAAACCCACAAACTTTCTCCTTACCTTATTGGTAAATATCATAAATGTCAATATCTATGGTTTAATATTATTTTAATTTTAAATGTTGTTTGCATAAAGTGGTCTGAAGACTATTGCTCTCTGAGCCAAAACCCAAACTTGCTCAATAATGATGGTATAATAAATCTCTGCTTATGCTGAAGTAGGTATTGCCTTATGGCAAAGATTGCAAAATCTGGCTTAGAAAGAAATTCCTTTTGCTAGTAAGCATTAAAATTCCTTGTTGCTAAGCCTAATTTGACAATGCAACTCTCCCCCATGTAACACAAGATTTATTTTTGGCATTAGGACTGCCAAAACTGAACACCTGTTTGACTGTAACCCTAGAACTTCTGAGACAAATGAGGCCTTTGTTTAGATAATGAACATTCTCGCTGCTTCTCTGAGTTCCCAAGGTGGCGCTGCCTTGATCAAGCTTGCGTTCTTCTTGTACATTCACTCATCTGTTTTTATTACAGGAGAAAATATCTTAATTTTGAGAGACTTGAGACCCAGCTTAAAGCATGTCACTGCAGAATCATATTTTCTAAAGCCAAGGTAAACTTCTTGAAAGCTCAAAGACAATGAGACTACTGAAATTTAACAAATCAGTGTTTACAAACATTTTCTGTTTCTCCAGCCTTCTGTCTTGGCACTGGCTATTATGGCACTAGAGATAGAAGAACAAAAATTACTGGAGTTGACAGAAGCATTGGAATTTCTGCAGCTGCACTCCAAGGTACGTATAGATAAAGTTTCAGGGGAGGAAGGAAGAAAAATGTGTGTAAAGGCCTACACAGTGGGGAAGGGGGAGGTCCGTTGGCATGTTGCTTTCTTTTGTGGCTTTGTTGTTGTTTTTTTTTTCCATTTGGCTTGGGATCTTTGGCTTCCTATCTATTGCGAAGAAGCTGAAAGTACGTGTATGAAATAAGGATTTAATGAGTTATTAACACATGAGATTCTGTCTTGCTGTTTAGATAAACAACAGAGATTTGACCTTTTGGAAGGAGCTGGTGTTAAAGTGCCTTACAGAATATTCCTCGAGCAAGTGTTCCAAACCAAATGTCCAGAAATTAAAATGGATTGTGTCTGGACGCACAGCACGGCAGCTTAAACATAGCTACTACAGAATAACACACCTTCCTACAATTCCAGAGACCGGCTCATAATAGGTAACTCCCTGTAAAATCACCTTCTGATAACATAGAGGCAATTAGCTGTTAACTACCTCAAAGTTTCTTATTCCGTATAGGTAACCTCTTGAAGAGATGTAACATAAACGTAGTAGGCCTGTCATAGAGGCTGGTCTGTTCTCCTGTTCATGCTTGAGCCAGTGCTGTACCTAAAGGAGTGGCAACCTAATATATGAACGTTGGAGAAGGAACTGATCCTCTGGTGTGCTGTGGGAGCAGGAATGTGTTCTACAGACATTGGGACCTCATTCAAACTAAAATGTGGAGTAAAACTGGTAAAAGAGGCAGAGAAAAAAACTTGGCTTGCTCCTATCCTAAAAAGAATCATCTAAGAGGAAACAGTTGCCTATTAGAGTTTCTTGTAATCGTTCACTTGAACCATTTAAAAGGAAGATAGTTGTATAGTTTTACTTGTATAACTGGTCAGTAAAGTCTAAAAACTGTAATTCAGTTATTCATATTACTGTTTTTTTTTACTCTGTAGAAATTGTGAACTACTTCTTTATCTAGACTCTAATTCCAAAGGCTACATATTTTCTGTAACAGCTGTCTTGCTGTAGTCAAGTCTGATGCATTGTTTGGCTCTTGTAGAAAGCCCTTCAGTTGACTGGGTTTTGTTTTGGTTTGTTTTTTTTCAGGAATACAATAAAATAAGGAGAGAACCATCCTGTGACCTTGTGAACAGACACATAAGTATTTGAGAAACAAAGTTTGAAACATAATCTTAATAATGAAGAACTCAACTCATGGAAAGAATATGTAACATTTCAGACTACGGATCCTTCGGGCAAATATGTTCTTTTCATGATGATTACAATAATATTCAGTGTCAGTTTTCAGTCTTATTTGTTAGACTCTTTACTGTTCAGTGAAATACCACAATACTGATAAAAGGCATTTTAACACCTTATAGTTTGTAGAGCAGCTTGTGTAGTCTAACCTTGGTTTACTGTAACTGCAGGTGCTGAATTACGTATTTAATTCAAAAAATGTGGTTCACTTTCTCAAAGATTATGTGACAATAGGAAAACATCATGTGCAATTGCACAGTGCTGCAGTGTCTCAATCAAACTAAAGACTAATCCCGCTCAATATTGATTACAATAACAAAAGTCTGTCAGTCTACCTGGCGTGCTCTTTGGGCAGTGTCACACGTCCACGTGTTCCTGCTGGGCAGGGCACTGGCCTGCTACCATAGATAGATGAAATACTAGGCTATGTGATACCCCTGAACGTGTCAAGTATCTAGAGCAGGAGAAAAGAGGAATCTTACTTCATTACCTTATAAAAGGTAGTCACTAACACAGCATCAGTAACTTCAATATTTTGTAAGATGTGTAGTTTACGGAGATCAAGAGCTGTTTCATTGAGTGTAAAAACTTCATGATACCTAATGAACGTTGAGGGAAAGTATGGGGTCACCTGCCCCAAATCTGACATCAGTTTTCCAAAGTTTCGCTGTACAAGAGGTAAATGCTGATGCTGAACAGGTGCATTTTTACAGGCAGAGTAGGAGGGCTAAGGCCCCATCTTGGCCTGTAAGTAGGAGCAATCTAGTTGAAAATCACTGAAGATTGCTTCAACGCTGATCTCTTGAATGGTAAGCTTCATAAAATATAACTGTTTTTTCTGAAGATCAGTACTTAGGCATATTGTGCTTCTGATGCTAGCAAGGAAGTGAATGATAAGAATGTATTTTTGTATGTAAGATGAATAGAGGTGTTGGGGGAACGTTGCTGATGACCTCTTGAATTCTGCGTCACGGTGGAGCAGAGGCTGTTAATAACTGATTGCCATATGAACTGACTTTAAGGAGAAGGAGAGATCAGAGTTGTGAATATAGTGTGGGCATAGGTATTAGCCAACCAGCCCTTTCCCCTTCGTGGTAATAGCTGAGGGGGAAACCATTCTTTGCATATTTCAAACTAGTTAAACCTTTCACAGAAGACTTCATACCAAAGCACTATACTAGACAAATCAAGCTTTCTCATGAACTCATGGGAGCTACAACATCGCGTAACCTGTAATTGGGTTTTGCATCTGCTAGTGCCATCTGTGCATTGTGCTGGCCGGTGAAAAGCGTACAAGTGATTCGGACAAAGGTGTGGTCAGCCTACTGAGAGTGATGGAGAAGATGCAATGTGCAATTCTAATTGTCATGTCTCAATATTAAGATACGTACCTTTCAATTAAACATTGAAATGTGTTTAACTGAGTAACTTTTTCCCTGTTTGTTATAAAACATCTTAGTAGGAAGCCTATAAAATGTCTGATACCTGAACAGTACCTGGAAAACTTCCAGGCAGGAGGTAAGAGATTAGGGTGATCTTTTTTTCAACTTTTTTTTTTTTTTTTAAGAGGTTAAGGCTGCATGGGAAAGACTGGAGAATGAATAGGAAACATTCAAGGTGCTTGATTAACATTGTTTCAACTCGGCCCATGATTACCCTCATCTTTTGATATGTGAAAGTGTTAAGATTGAGAAGACTGATGTAAATAGCTTAGTTCAAATTTGACTTCAACCCTCTTCCATTATTTATCCAGTTATCATCTGTTTCTGTGCATTGCAGTAAATACCTGGATGGTGCTTGCTTAAGTGAATCTGGCACAGAGATTTCTAATCCCAAGATGAGAGTTTTTGCACTGATATGAGCATCCCAGTCTAACTAGGTAAAAGTTTAGCTATACATTTCTGTGTCTCAACACAGAGCAGCTATGGCCCCTTCAATAAGGAGAGCAATGCAGTGGCATTACTCTGAGCTGATCTTGGACCAGATGCATGAAGAAATACCAGTAGACTACCCTCCGCTCACTTACATAGCAGAGCAGCACTCTGAATGAGTGCACAGGATTATTTCCTATAGAGTAGGTTGCTCTGGATACTATATCACATAGCCAAATTTATGCATCTCTCAAATACCTGTTACTGCTGTCTAAGAAGTGAGGCATTGAATCCATTGTGAGATGGAACACAACCCACCATTTGCTAAAGTATAGACTGAGAACTCCAATTAAGGAAAGTCATAACATCAGTATTTTTTTATTTTCATCTAGATTCTTCCAAAATTGGAGGCCTGTAGATGACAGAAGTAGCTAACCAAGTAGTCCAAACCTTTCCTCTTAAATCAGAGCCGTGATGCCTAAATACATATGTCACAGTCATCCCCTTTCCTTGACATCAGCCGTGGCTGTAGGATGACTCTTGTGCTACTTCGTAAATCAGAAAATCTGGGAATAAAGTTTAGCTTTGAAAGTGCATATAGTAAATGTAAATTCAGGCACTGAAGTGTCAGCTACCATTCTAAACTTCTGCTATAAGCAAAAGGCATACAAAACCATCCTCTGCAAATTATCTGCTGTAATGAAAAAATACTATTTCACTGGATAGTACTTCAGCATTTTGATGCAACATTAACTTGTTTCCATATTCCCTCTGTCTTCAGTTACTTCTGCGGCAGTCTTGTTCATTTCTTAACTATACCACCCAGCTTCTGTACTAGGACCAGTAAAGATAGAAAACTTCATAGCCATAAATCAAAATTTTAGACCACAGTACTTTCCTTTGTATAGCTAGGCAAGTTCTCTAAAACCCAAACACAGTGCATGGACTTCTACTTTATGTTCTGTCAAGATAATGTGGGTAGAAGGAGCAAACGTGATTAACTCAGGAGTATTAACGCTCACTTGCTCATACACAAGAAAGCAGTGGATATAATTACAATGAAAGCATTCTTCCACAACTATTGCTTTAGTTTTGCCATATGCCAACTGAAATAATGATACAATTTCAGAAATAAGGCTCAGCAGTATGATAGACAGCTGCTGGCAATTTATCTCCAGTGAGACTTCTGCTTAGGACTTAAGTATAGGCTTTAGTTTCAGTGTGCAGAATACAATAAGATTTGGCAATCATGTTTTCTTCCCGTGTTAGTCTGTTTGATACAACCTTCATCCTGTATGATGCTGCGGTTGGAGCACTCTTGGCTGCATCCTTAACCGTGAATAGAAAATTCCTGATACATAATTGGCACATGCAAAATACTGTATCGTGCACTAGCTATGTTTAAAACACGGCTATTAAATTTAAAACTATCTACAAAAATGTACAGCTTCTTAGATACACTATCAACAACTCATGCTATATGTTGGTAATGAACAGATGCAAGGTACTATTTCCTACTGAGGGACTTTCTCTTCTTTTCAAAAGTCATTATATTCTCTTACTTTCAAAATCTTAAATATTTATACCGAAAGGTTATATTACATTAACGCATACAATTATTTATATCCAGACTTTCACCTGACCTTCCAGTTTTCTAGTATTGCTTACCTGGTAGGAAGTATTAATTATTAGTGTTACACTTGACAACACAGTGGACTGTAAAACCTTATTTGAGGCAAGATGCAGTAATTTCTTTATTTAAATCACTTTTTTAGAATGACATGAGTTCTCAGAGGGCTGCTACCCAGGGAAAGTGTAACTGTAGCCATCCTAATAGCCTTCCTGTTGCAAATCAAGAGAAAATACTAAGTATCTTGCTTGTAACATCTATTCTTCAACAGTGAATAAGATATTCTTGCATTAAGAGAAATGATGTATTTATAACTGACTAGTTTACTCTGGCGTTTCTAAGGGAAAAACAAAACCAAACCAACATTCTGCTTAAAGATGTTACTTTTTTGTGTACACCTTTCTCTATAGTTTGTCCCTTAGTATTAGAAAGTTATTGCAGCTTTTAAATCAGCTGTTAACACTTTGTCTTCGTTCTACTGGAAGAGATCTTCTTTCTCTTCACTGAAGTAATTGCCTGACGACAATCCGTTGAAGAGATCACTGAAGTCTTCACTGGTTACATGATTCCAGTCCTTAAGTGTATAATTCCTCTCAAGGAACACAGAAAAAAACAGTTTACTTTTCAAGATTAGAAAAGTCTGGTCCTCCTTTGCTGTAATTTCCAGAAATTTCTGCCCCACTGAAGTCAAATCCAGGGTTCTGACGGAGGTAAGAGAAAAGTTTAATAGATAAATTATTCATAATCAAAATGTTTAAAAAAAAACCCCCAAAAAAGTCCAAAACTGTTTCTGTTAATACTCTGCCATTGTAACAAGGACATGTTACAATCAACTTGTCATCCATTTGTCATAGCACTGAATTTCTTGGAAAATCCATCAACAAATAAAACCTAAATTGTCATAGTTTGATTGGCTACTGCCAAAGTGACTTTGTAATGCTGTTCTCGACTTGGCAAGCAGTTAGACCTTCCAGTAAGGAAATGTTAAGGAAAGTTGAAGAAAAATTTCTGGCTTCTGGTGTCCCCTTGTTTGAACATATAAGTACCTGCCATTCTGGAGAACAAGTTTTATAAAAATGTTATCTTTTGTTGCAGCACGTAGTGTGCTGATTCAGCTGTTAAGTAACAAGTCATAATTCTACAACGCTGCGGATATACGCGCGAATAGTTGCGTGCTAAAGGTGTACCAAAAGAATTCAAGCAATTTTAGTAAACGGACAATGAAAATATTTTCCAGCTAACTGTTCTACATCATCTGAAGTTATAAACAAACATATTCAATAGAGCTTGATATTAGAAGTTTGTTGTAAATACGGCTATGCCATCATTCTAGATAATAATAGAAATTGTGTGTAGCCAAATGTAAGTGAAAAGTTGTTAGTATTATGCAACAAACCCTAAAACAGCACTGTCAGAGAGACTACAGACAGAATAACCTCTTGAAAGTACACTGATAAAGCCCTGTGAGCGTTCTGTATGCATATACATATATATCTATAT